CATCTACACCTCCAGATGCAGGAAGAGGGCCACCTGCATCATGAATAACCCCACTCACCCAGCACACACACTTTTTGCCCCACTCCCCTCAGGAAGGAGGTTAAGGAGCATTAAGTGTAGAACCACTAGACTGAGGAACAGCTTCTACCCTGAGGCTGTTAGACTCATGAATCTCTAACCAGAATATTCACTGTGAAAAATCACATCATGTTGCTGCTGATCTGTTTCAATGTTGCTGGTGATCTGTTTCAATGTTGCTGCTGATCTGTTTCATGTTGCTGCTGATCTGTTTCAATGTTGCTGCTGATCTGTTTCAGTGTTGCTGCTGATCTGTTTCAACGTTGCTGCTGATGCTTCAATGTTGCTGCAGATGTTTTATGTTGCTGATCTGTTTCATGTTGCTGCTGATCTGTTTCAACGTTGCTGCTGATGCTTCAATGTTGCTGCAGATCTGTTTTATGTTGCTGATCTGTTTCAATGTTGCTGATCCGTTTCAATGTTGCTGCTGATCTGTTTCAGTGTTGCTGCTGATCCATTTCAATGTTGCTGATCCGTTTCATGTTGCTGCTGATCTGTTTTATGTTGCAGTGTTCTTTCGTGTTCATTTGCTCAGACTTATGTTCGTGCTGCTGTTCAGCATTTTGTTTTTATGCCATTAGTGCTTAGTGTATTTTTAGTTAACGTTTTCTTAGTTCATATCTTAGATCTTATTACGGTTTCTCTTTACATTTTAATACTTTGTTGGATGTAACTGGGACCCTGTGTACACACTTTCATTCCACCACATGTACCACGTATGACAAATCACCTTGAATGGTCGAATGATTTGACTTTGCAGTCGTGTCGTCTGATTTGTGACCATTTGTTTTGAACACTAAGATGGAGAGAGGAGCTGAGCTGTTGGTTGGACTGGGAACACCTTGGAGTTCTCCCAGAAGAGCTGTGGAGAGAGACGTCTGGGCCACCCTGCTCAAGCTGCTGCTCCTGCGACCCGACATCGGAACAAGCGGATGATGGACGGACACTAGTGATGATGTATATTTGTATGAAGTTTCGTTAAATCATCTTGAAATCAGAAGTTTTGGGCGGGAAAGGAGAAAGTAATGTATACATAATAAATACCCAAGTTTGCCTTTCGACACCAATACTAAACATAAAAACACACACGGACAAAACATTGTTGTCCATTCCCTTTTCTGATTAAATGACACTTTAGTAAAATAAAACTGATGATTTATTCTATCTGGGGGCAACACAAAAATAAAGTTCACAAAGCAGAAAAATAGATGAAGGCGGTCATACTGAAGTCATTTCTGTTTTTATTAGAAACAGTTCACATTTCAACCCAAGCCGTCTTGTGTTTAACCTTCAAGAGTGCAGCGCATACAAAATCAGATCCAAAGTGTCTGGCAGCTCCTAATAAAGTTTTTATTATTTAAGGGGTTTGATATCAAAGTCCTGTGCAAGTGATCTTCAGATATTTACAATCAAATCAGGCAGCCCTGAATCGAACGTCGCTGCAGAAAGAACCCAGAACTGAAACTCAAACAGATACAAAAACAATCTTCAGTTAAACAATATATTTCTCCTTTGAAATAGAATTAATAACATGAGATAAACCACGATTGCTTCATCTTTAACCATAGGCACGTCGTAGATATGTGAGGCGTCACGGAAGCCAAATGGAGGCCATGCATCTCTTCTTCGGATGTTTGTGTAAACAGAACCACGAGCCATCCTGCAGCCCAGGCAGGGCTGCTTAAAATACTAAAGTCAAAGAAAACCAAGAAGAAGAAAGGATCTGGATGATGTCTAAAGGGTTTAACTGTTTCAATTTAAGAAGTGATATGTAAAAAAAAACACACAAATCAGTGTTGCCTCATCCAGAAGCTCTCCAGATGTTTTATGGCTCACAATGACTGGGTTCTTTGGTATAAAACTACCTCAACTTGTTACAACTTAAAAAAAAAAAAATGCATTCTGTAAGAACAAGAAAGCACTTCCTGTTTTCTCCAATAAAATGGCAATTAAATTCACGAACACAAAAAGCCTTCTTGCAGATGAAAGTACTGATGGTTACAGGTGCATGCTTGAGAAAACGTACGCGTTGAGCGATCCTCTGCAGCGTTAGAAGTCGGGATGTTAAAATCCAGCTCCCTCACACGAGGAAGGAGCGCATGCTGCACACGAGCGTGTTTAAGCTCCACTGTAAACTGGTCAGGGGAACATGGAGCTGGTATCTCACCAGGCTGCGACCCGTCACGACGTCTCTAGAATGTTTTGCGACATTTCTCAATGTTCTCGTCCGAGCTGCAGAGACGTGTGGTCCTGTCACGCAGGCTCTGACTTTGGTCAAAACATTTGTGACGAACTGAATCGGACATACTCGGTCGACGCTGGGGGCTCAGATTGGAATATGTGGATTTTCTCGTGAGCTTTTACAACCCCACTCAGAGCGATTCGCCTGCATTTTGACACCAGAATAGACAAAGGCTCCTGGGGGAAAGAAAACATCTGAAGAAAATGTCCAAGTCCAAAACTCGCACTGATAACTAAAAAATATAAATATTTATATAAAAAAAACTGGTCCAACTCTGCTTACCTACATTCCTTACTTGAACTCCAGATAATTAAATCATGGATGCCAAGATGGGTGTAAAACTAGCACGATGTGGACAGTAATATAATCTGCACAGGCAAGAATGCATGAAAAATAATCCGGGATCGTCAAAAACTGGCTGCATGGCACGCCCGTCGCAAACCGTCTTATTTTCTTGCTATTTTTACCGAAAAGCCTCCAACAGTTGCAGCCCAGTGAGATACCGCTCGTGTCGTACATGTTTGAACCATCGTGTTCTTTTGTAAACCAGTCAGGGCAACATAACTCTGCTTTTTGATTCAGTTCTGTGAAAGGAACTGCGGAAACTTAAAACACACTTTCGTTAGTGAATAAATAAAGTTGTGGATAAAAATAAAGGCCACTATCTCTTTTAAACGACGGCCATGTATAGTCAGTATTTTGTTTCCCTTAGCCGTGATGTTTGTTTTTTTAATCACATGTAATAAAACAGTTGACTGTGTTTTAGTTCAGGTTGCGTGTTGGCTTTAGTTCCCCTCGTACGTGTATCAGATTGTAAATGTCTGACGTGATCCTGTTTCCAGAAAGAGCTCTGCGTCGTCTCTTTCTGCGGTCTGAGGAGAAAACAGGAACGGACGATGGACACAAGCTGAGCAGATTAAAAAAAATGGGGTGATGAAAAGAGGAGTGGAATGAGCTTTGAGGTTATTTCCTTCACTCCGTGGTGACTAATGAGACTCTGATGTCCTGGACAGTATTTTAGGATGCTCCATACGTCTGCTGAGACATGCAAGTTGCCAAGGTGACCCGTTTTCACCAAGATCAACTGGGTAATCCAGAGTGGCTGCTGTTCAGGAACAAGGCAGGGAAAGAAGAAAAAAACAAACAAACCATACTTCCCTCTTGAAGGTTGCTAATTTGTCACACTTCATGTCCTTTTAGCATGGCGTCTTCAAGTAAGTACTGTCCTCATGTCTGTGAAAGCACATGCTGATTTACTGGATTCATCTAAGGCAAAACGGACCGTGAAGAAGAGTGGAAAGTGCTCTAAGGGTCCTCCCCCTGCACAGCACAAGTCCACAGCGCTGCAGAGTTACTCATGAGGACGTGAGGGGACTTTTCCTCCCTGGACTCGCTGACACAAACCAACCAGCTGAGTCAGGACGTGTCCCTGCAGGATGCTGTCCAACCTCCCCCCCACCGGGGACCTCTCTCATCAAGACGTGTTTAGTAGCTTGGTAGATTTATTGGGGTAATTGATAGCCAGGCTGATGGCAGCGATGTTCTTCAGAGCCTAAACAATAAAAAAAGGCAGTTAGTGACTAGGATTCAGGAGCGTGGCTGCAGAGAATCAAGCAGAGGGAACAATGAAAGGAGAAGTGAGGAGCTGCGTTATCACTCTGCACGTTTAAAGATCATAGGAAATAAAACGGAGCGGAACAGAAGGGCTATAAAAATGGATACTTGGATCAAAGTTAGCTGAACACAGTTCTTTTCTGTCCAAAGCATCATACCAGCACAGCAGCAGGACTTTATTGTTAATGCCTTCAGTGATGTGGTGTTTTCAGATGTTTGTGTGTGGGACGTTCTTTTCTCGTAACTAAATCTACCCGGGGCACCGAGGCCGTGCTTCCATGGACCTCAGCTGTGTTTTGACGCATGGTGTTCTCTCCTGGACTGGGTCTGGGTGTCCACAAACTTCTTTAAAACGTCTTCAGTTGATCCAAAATGCTGCTGCCAGAGTCTTAACTGGAGTTAGTGGGAGAGATCACATCTCTCCAGTTTTAGTTTCTCCATTGAAATCAAAATCCTACTTCTAACCTACAAAGCTCTCAACAACCTAGCTCCATCTTATATTACAGATCTTACTGTTCCATATTTTCCTAACGGAGCACTTCGCCCTCAGGCTGCAGGTTTACTTGTGGTTCCTATACCTTCCAAAAGCAGAATGGGAGGAAGATCTTTCAGTTCTCCGGCTCCTCTCTTGTGGAACCAACTTCCAGTTTCTGTCTGTGAGACTGACACATAGTCCAGTTCTAAGACTTTCCTTTTTGATAAATCCTATAGTTAGGGTCGGCTTGGGTTTCCTGAGCTGTCCCTTAGTTATGCTGCTATAGGCTTAGACTGCTGGAGGACAAACTGACCACACTTTTCACTCTGCTACTGTCTTTACTTACTCTGCTCAACCTGTTTTGAATTTGTAATTATTTTTTCTATCCTTAACGTGTGTTTTTTTGTCTTTCAGGGACACCTGGACCTAAATCTGAACCTGGACCTATATCTGAACCTGGACCTATATCTGAACCTGGACCTATATCTGGACCTACCATTCTGTGTTCGTCTGTCTCTCCTTCCTGTCCTCTCAACCAGTTGGTCAAAGCAGATGGCCGCTTGTCCTGAGCCTGGTTCTGCTGGAGGTTTCTTCCTGTTAAACATGAGTTTTTTCTTTCCACTGTCTCCTTTGTGCTTGCTCAGGGTGGGAGACTGCGACGAAGTGAAGATTCAACGAGTCTGCAGCTTCCTTAGATAGAGAACTTTACTAATTGGCTTCTGTATGTCTGTGAATGTTTTAATACAGTGCCCTGAGACACTGCTGTGACTTAGCGCTATGGAAATAAACTGAATTGAATTGGACTGGGTATGCCAGGTCCTTTAGGCTCTTTTTGTCTCCTGCGTGAAGAACTGTGGAGATTCATGAGTGGCTGTCAGATTCTTCTGCCGCTCACAGTTTCAGTCGTTCCTTCTGTGCTTTCCTTTCGGTCTCTCGTTGGCTTGGTGGTTGGCGGGCGGAGGACGCAGGTGTGAGGTTGCCGTGGATTTTGTTTTCCAGTTTCCTCGATTTTTTTCTTAAGTTTTTCTATACCCAACGTGCGCTATTTATGTCAACGTGTGCAATAACAAATAATTATATGGAATATTCTGACACTTTTTAAACGTGGTTCTGTAGTGAGAACTTAGGAAGAACTAAAACGTTATATTTTGGAGCTCCTAGAATAGCCTCAGTAGGAGAAACAAAGTTTAGCTCCTCTGTATGACCAGGATTATTTATTATTTTAGCAGAATTTATTTTCCCTCAGATAAATAATGTTATTAACTTACTTTATATGTGCATGAAAGTTTCTGTTCCGTGTCCTGAGATGACTTCTCTTGTGACTTGGTGCTATATGAATAAACTGAACTGAACTGAATTAAACTTTATTTCTCCAAACTGAAGTTGTTCAAGGAGTAATAAAAAGATAATTTACTTGTTCATAAAGAGCTCACAGAAACCCAGTTTAAACTGGTGTCATCTTTTGTGAGATGTCGGACCAGAATAACCACCACTTCCAACTCGCTTAGTCCAAAACCTGATCCAGAATCACAGAAGAAACAGACTCATTTTACTGTCAGTTGTTTCTCAACAGATTAAATCTTCTCGCACTGGAAGTTTGATGTTCACCAAGATGTTGGTAAGATCAGCAACTAAAGACACCATAGCGCACATTTTTCTACTCCCCTAGCTGATTTAAGCCATTGTTAAATTAAAGAAACTTAAAGAATCTGTAGAGTTTTTCCTCCCACAGAAGAGATCAGTCATTTACTTCTGAGTCCAGGAATCTCCTCCATTCTCAACTTTCCATCCGTTTGCTGCTCAGTTTGCAACATTTTCACCCAACACTTAATCCTGTTTAGAAATAACCCCACCCCACTCCTCTAGGCACATTTCCACCACAACTTGTTAAATATTTCCAAACTTGGACACCGATCTGCGTCTTCAGTGAAGTCAACAAAAAGTTTTCTGATGAGAACAAAAGTCTAGCTGCTTTTATACCTTGCATCATCTCAACACTAACGTAGCGTGCCAAGTTACCCACGGTTTTGTTTTCAACCTGACAGGTATTGGGTAACAGTTCAACAGAACCACCCACAATGTTGTTTTCACTCCCCCTCCCCCGCTGCGGCGCTCCTCTGAACCACCTTCAGGCTCCACCGCCGCGTTACAAGGCCCTCGGTACGGAGGACGCTGTGGCTCGCTCTGCCACAAATGCTAATGGACTGTAATTATCAAATACATTAGCCACGAGCACGGCCCACACACTTTAAAAAACAAGGGGGGGGGTCCGCGAGGTGTCAGCAGCTCTGTGACGCACTGAGAAAAAGAGACTCCTGCTGCGAGCTGACTCACGGCGACTGAAGACCGTTCAATACGGGGATCTGCGTGGTTAGAAGAGAGTTACATAACACTTCTGGGAGCTCCCTTCATCCACATAAGACACCGCTCGAGTACTGAAAACATCAGAGGTGACCCAAGAAACCGAACAAAAGTCTGATTTTTTTTTTTAAGGGAAAAAGTCTTACTAGTGCAGTGTGACTGAGGAGCTGCTCATCTGTGGTCATGGCGAGCAGGTACTCCTGGAGGATTCCCTGTTTCTGTGAAACAACACAACAGTTGGTGGTTAAAACTTCTGCACTGCTCCACAAACACATGACTAGAACCTTACAGTCTACACAGACGACACTCAAAAGTCGCATACGAGGTGAATTCTGTTAGAAATGTTGGAAACGTTCAAAACAATAAATAAAGACCCAAGATTTGTTGAAGAAATGAATGTTGCCCACCAGGTCAGAGTTTTAGACTAGAACCATATTATGACGAAAGATTGAGGAGTCACAGTCACCTGATCAAACCTTAAAAACAACTTCACACACAATCTCACAGATTAAAACCAACACTTGGTTGTATCTAGTGGTTTATGAATTATATGGCTAATGGACACATAAACATGCTGATGAGGGCAAAAACATAATTGTCTGCCTTTACCTGAATAACAGAACTGTTTCTGTTATGATTGGTGATATGTCATCTTCTAGTGCTACTCTTTCTTGTTGGTGTGCCGCAGGGCTGTATTTTTGGTCCTCTCTTCTTCTCTCTTTATATACATATCTTTTCATTCTATTGCTGACCTGGGCCTTTTTAAATGCAATCGTAAAACCTTATATTTTCAGACAGACATTTAATATTTAGCGGCACTCTGGCAGTTTTGTACTTTAGTATTGTTTTTACTGTCCACTAACTTTTTTTATTGTGAACCACTTCGAGCACCTTATGGTTGTTATAAAGGACTCTTGAACAAACTTTTATAGACTTTATTTATTTTGGCAGCAGTCGATAACTAAATACGGTCTCAACCAAAGCACATCTACAGTGAGAGATGTCTTATACAACCACAATAACTCTGGTAGCAGATAAGGCTGCGCACTGGGGGGAACTGGGCTGGAACTGGGCTGGAACTGTTCGATAGACAGTCCAGAGTCTGGCCTGGAAACACAGTGAGGAGGGGGTTGTTCATAGTACTAAATGTACAGTCAGCAGTGTGTGACATGCTGTGTTTTGATTTCTAAATATAATGTTCACGTCCTGGGGTGAAGAGTTCATTGAGTCTGAAAGAAAAAGAACCAAAGCTTGAAAGTTTTAAACAAACTTTGTGCAAGATCAGGATCAGACCTAATATGGTCACACACGACTGGAGGATGTGGGTATTTGTACTTTGCTTCCCACAAGATTTCCACATACTGAATACCTGCACTACTTTTGGTAATACTGATTTAGCATTCACTGTAGTTTTCCAGTTTGGGGGTTTTATGTAGACTTTTTGCAGTCTGACTACTTGTGCTATTTTAGCCATTCATAAATTCAAATGTTTATGAACTTTTCTTTTATGCAACTTTTACACTGTTCAAAATATTCACCTATTTTCAGTTTTTCTCCACCGAAATCTGTAGAGATCCATTCACTTCCCTCAAAAACATTGTTACAACCATTTCCAACACATCCTTTGAGCATATCTTGTCATACCACATAAGATTTTACATGTTATTTTTAAAGTTTAACCAAAATGGCTGAAACGCCATTTGTTTCTTATACAACAATTTAGCTTGATCTTATACTACAGATCTTATTGTTCCATATTTTCCTAACGGAGCACTTCGCTCTCAAACTGCAGGTTTACTTGTGGTTCCTAGAGTTTCCAAAAGCAGAATGGGAGGAAGATCTTCCAGTTCTCAGGCTCCTCTCTTGTGGAACCAACTTCCAGTTTCTGTCTGTGAGGCTGACACATTGTCCAGTTTTAAGTCTTTCCTTTTTAATAAATTCTATAGTTAGGGTTGGCTTGGGTTTCCAGAGCTGTCCCTTAGTTATGCTGCTATAGGCCTAGACTGACCACGTTTCTTCACTCTGCTTTTCTGTACTTTACTCAACCTGTTTTGTATTTGTAATTATTTTTTCTATTCTTGACATGCGTTTTTGTCTTTCAGTTACATCTGGACCTACATCTGGATCTACATCTGGACCTGCCATTCTGTGTTCGTCTGTCTCTCCTTCCTGTCCTCTCAACCAGCCGATCAAAGCAGATGGCCGCTTGTCCTGAGCCTGGTTCTGCTGGAGGTTTCTTCCTGTTAAAAGGGAGTTTTTTCTTTCCACTGTTGCCACTGTGCTCGCTCAGGATGAGAGACTGTGAAGAAGTGAAGATTCCACGTGTCTGCTGCTTCCTTAGATAGAGAACTTTACTAATTGACTTTTCTATGTATGTGAATGTTCCTGTAAAGTGCCCTGAGACAGCTTTGTTGTGAATTGGCACTGTATAAATAAACTGAATTGAACTGAACACAGGATAATATAAGTCTAAAGCTCGACAATGAAAGGCGACATGTATTCCTTCAAGGGTCACTGCGCCTTTAATTTAGATTGTTTTCTGCTGAATGAAGTTGCTGGGACAAGTATCATTGAAGAAACAGGGCTGCAACGTGCACGAAGGGCATCCTGGGTGAAGCTGTGAGTACTGCTACTGCCCCCTGCTGCGCACAGACACACACTGCTCCTTACAGGCTTCTCATTCTCTCTGTGAAGTCCAACATGGGCAGATGGGACCAGAAAACCTGTCCTGTGCAACAAGTCGGCTCAGCTGATGGAGCTGCTCTGCCAGATCAGTGGCTCTTCCTGGGTAGAAGACAGGTTGTGCTTTAAAAAACAAAACTATGTGGTTCTGTTGTGTCTACAGATGGGGAAACTCCTGGCTGATGACGTACTCTAATCCCTGAGACACATCTCAATTATTCGAGATGGGGGACAAAGAGCCTGCGCACGTCACATTTTTAGATAGCATCTCTTCCTCTGCTGAGAGGTGTAGGGAGCCTGTCTGGCAGATGGCATGGCTGGGCTGTGGTCCCGAGCCAGCTCAGAACAGGTGGGCTGAGGGACAAACATGATCATCTTACAGGGAGATGGACAAACAGGGAAGGACAGAAGGACAAACATGCTCTCTGAATTCTCTTCTTACTCTTACTGACATGTATTGAACGAGTTGTCCCAGAGAAAGATAAAAAAAAAAGCTAAACAGAAAACAGTTTGTATAAAACCAGCTGTTTTGAATGTTCAAGTATTCAACCTGAAAAAAGCTGTGGATCGAGTCTCAGCTACTATAACACCAACTTTTAGCTGAATATATGTAAAAGCTATACTTTACTTTTGAAGTCATACCCATTCAAGATGGCCACCACAGCTTGATCCCGCCAATAGTTTGAGAGATATCTTGCCAACGCTACAGACAAATGAACACAGACACAGGTACAAACACCATCCCCTACGAGTGATGATAAGCAATGAGTTTTATTACTGCAATGCAAAACTGATGACGATGTAAAGGCGTTTAAATTATATTCACATGAACTAGAAAACTTTAGAGCGGTTTAAAGATGGCAGATAACTACACTGGTCTTGGCTGTGTTTGGACTAACCATCAGTCCTGTCACAATTAACCTCCAAACCAAGGCCCTTCAAGAAGCCATCTGCAACAGGTAAGATATTCATTATTCATATCCTTTACAATGAAACCCACTTTAATATGATCAAACTACTCCTTTAGTTTTATGGCACACCAAGAGATTGGAGTTGAGCTCGGTCAGGCAGGTGCAACTCAGGGCAACTACGGTACATACAGTCGTCCCTCACTACATCACAATTCAGTTATTGCAGCTTCACTGTATTGCAGGTTTTTAAACCCGTTTTTTTATATCCTTGGCTGTGCAGTACTGTACATTCATCTCATCATCAACATCATCAAAGTGTTTAAAAGCAAATGAAGGGTATATACCAGTAAAAGAGTGGGACAGGCTTATAAATCCTTAAAATATATACAGTAGTCCCTTGCTACTTGACAATTCGTTTATCGTGGACTCGCTCTATCGCGGTTTTTCAAAACAAGATTGGACATAACACCCAACTGCCTGATTGATGGATGAGCCGCACGATTGTCATGGAATTTTTATTTAAAACAAATTATTTAAAATTATGTAGCACCTGTTGCAACTTTGTGCATCCAACAGCTGCATGATAAGTTTCCTGCTGCAGCTGATCAGCTGCTCGTGCAGAGCGGATAAGTGGGCGTGGCCAAGAGCGCTTGCAGGTGGCTGAGAGCAGCAGGGGCAGGGAGCTGATTTCATGACATTTTGTGCTCTTTTAGAGCATTTTTTCATCCAACCTTTATTTAAACAGATAAATCACATTGAGCCTCGAAGACTCGTTTACAAGTGAGACCTGTTTGGACAGACAAAAACAGTGGTTAACTGGACACATGTAGGAGTTGGAGGTGAAAACATTCCTATCAGACTTTTTTTTTCCTGACTGAGAAAAAAAACTAATATTAAAAAAACACCTCGCACAGTCAGCATGTTCATAGAAGCTCTTGAGGGCACTGTAAGAGTTCTGATAAGGATGGAATAATCAGCCAGTGTCCTCCAGTGAGATCCATAAACATTCTCCAGGTATGTTGAGTAATGGCCAAGAATAACGTCTATGAGAATCCAAGAGTCCTGAAATGATGACACAAAGTTTATTCAGCTGGTTCATCTGGTTATCAGTTGGAAATTCCAGGCGAATTCAGATAAGATGACCTTCAAGACCAGCCAAGGGAGCCAAATTCAGATAAACACACAGTTGTTTTGGGGACAGTCCGAACTTAATGACATCTACCTTGACTCTGTGTTGGTCCACTCGGTTCCGAAATGTCCAAAATATATGGCTACACTGATGGAACGTGACTCGAGTAAAATCCCCAAGATCGGATCCATTCTGCCCAAAGCATTTGAGTCTGGGCACTCGAGGCACGAACCAAGCCATCATAAAGGCAAGCAGCGTGATCGGGTCCAAATTTGCTGCCGACGACTTCCTTGACTGTAGATAAAACCAGCAACCAGCCGAATCCAAAAAGCAGGAACCAGTTATCGAAAATCCAATTAAATATGCGTCCTTAAAATTCACAAATGGCAGCAGAGAAAGACACATCATCAAGTCTTCCAAGTCGATGAGATATCCAGCTGCATGCGTGCGTCAACAGGGTAAATCGGCTCGCCTAAAGCCCGTCTTCTCTTCAAGAAATGTTGTAAATTGAGTTGAGGGACCAACTGATCAAAAAGTCCATAATTTTGGTTCGGAAGATGCAAGAGAGGCTCACAAGCAGTTTCACAGACAGGTTTAGAGTTTAGAAACAGTGTGTAGAATATTGCAAGAGTGTGGGAAGGGTTTAAAACGCCTTAATATATAAATACTAAAATAAATACTACTTACTACTTGTACTACTATTCCTACTTGGTGGTTTTTCACTTATTGAGGGGCTTCAGGGTACGAATCCCCCGCGATAAACGAGAGACTACTGTATTATAATAAAATAAATATAATTCTGTTACCTCATAGGTTTTTGTCTATTGGGGGGGGGGGGGGGGGGGTCTCTTGAACGACAGGTGAGGTATCAGTGTATGTCCCAAATTATATGTGCAAACTGACTTTATGGAGCAAAATGTTTCACCTCCAACTATGATCTCTGCTGAAAAAGAATGTTTTACAACACACAGCCTTGTTAAGAGGAGACAATCAATTGACTGATGATTGAATCAGTAGATTTAACCACTAGAGAGCCCCTCACTCTCCGCACCACCTGCTTAAAATGTCTGATTACAGCAGTCATTAGTCAGACTCACGGAGGTGTACTCTCTCACACTATATTAGTTGTATAAAGCTCCTCTCCTTCATGGAACAGAGGATACAGACACAACCTTTTGTTGTGGCAGTTTGCAGATCTGGAGCATTCAGGTGTGTAATAACCTGTAGGAACACAGACTACCAGTGATGTTAGAGGAGCCATCGTTGTCTCAACAATGTAAAAAGTAATGGGACTCAATCCCTCTACCATGGGCGTCAGAAGCATCTGTAATGTGTGTGTGTGTGTGTGTGTGGGGGGGGGGGGCACTATAGTATGTATGTGTGCGCACCAGCGTGCCAAAAGTGTAAAAAAAAAAAATCAACATTTTATCTAGATTTCCTTACTTTAATTCCATTTAAAGCATGTTTCTCACCAAGCTTGTGTAAATTCAGCTGTTTTAAAGACATTTCAACTTTAATGCGCTTCAGGTCGGCACTATTTGTGTTTATAAAGAAATAAAAAAACATCACCACTGGACTGTTTTACTTGTGTTCAACACTACTCATGTAAATGATGTTTCTCATGAAGCTTGAGGACAATAAGGTGTGGGGGTTTTAAAGACATTTCAACTTTAATGTCCCTGAACACACAGCGTCTCTTACACCTGCAGCGTCACAGTTACTGCTAAGCTAACATGCTACAGACGTAGCGCTGCACTTCTCTCCTCCTAACCATGTGTATATGTTTATGTTCAACCCCCCGGTCAACAACTGCCTGCACTAAGCTCGCTAAGCTGGTGAGCGATCAACACAGAGGTGTCTCCACCTCCTCCACCTGTGCGCGTTTTCTGCCGAGGCAGGAGACTCAGAGAGTTGGAGGTAACCAGGAAAACCTGGAGTGGAGTTTTAGTGGTTGAGTTTTCTCCTATTAATCAAGTGGAATGGATTTGTTCACGAAGAAAGAGAAATTGCGCCGACTGAACTAATGTTGTATAGTAAAAGTGGGGGGGTCCAAACAAACGTTTTTTTAATGTGGGGGGACATGTCCCCATCACATATAATGGTTGCGACACCTATGCCCTCTACAGAGATATAAGACACATATGTGTTCAACAGAAAAGGACTGTGTGCTCTTAGTTTTTCACACATTGCTTCAACTTTGTGGCTCAAATTTAACAAATTAATTAATGAATAACTGAACATGATCTTAATGATATATTTACATGTGGGAAAACATCAATGGGAGTAAATTCAGCTAAGATCTAACACAGAACATAATGCTTCAGTTCATCATCTCAATATGACAAAAAATGAGCTATTAACGATCATCTTCATATTTTACTAGTTTCTGGAGATTATCTGTAATAACTTGTTGTTTCATGGCCTAGAGTTTGGGTTCTGAAACCAACCACAGGTCTACTCTCAGCTGAGTTTTAAGCTAAAAGCTCTTTGAGACTAAAACACTCTTTTATATGTGCTAAATATGTAATCATATGTAGATGCAACAATGTGAGGCTGCAGGTAACGTTCTTTAAAAAAAGATCAGCTTAAAACTGCCTGTTATGGGTGGCCAGAACACGACTGGTTCATGCTCAGGTGTCATTTTCACGTTTGAATGACTAACTGACATGACGCTAACGGTAAGATGGCTCCGCCCACGAGGAAACGTTACACAGAGTGAGCTCACCTCCAATAAACAAACAAAGATAGCTGGAACGGTGGAGGTCGTTATCGGAGACATTTAGAGACATTTCTGCCGTATCAGTCAACATTAAGACAAAGAAGACAGGAAAATCAAGTCAAAGATACTAATAACTTAAAATAGTTCCTGCAGTGGGTGTTTTCATGCCACAGAGCAGCGCAGGGCAAGAAATCACAGTGAATTTCAGTATGTGCTAAGAGTGTACAATTTAAATTACGCAACACTTTGTACAAAATCAGTTTAGTTTTAAAAAGACTAAACTTGTACAACCAGAAGTTACAACATATATCTACATATAAAACACACAAAACAAAGAACAACTAGCTTTAAGCATCAACTTCAAATGTAACCATTAAACATAGAGTGCAATAATGACAGAAAATGGAGGATGCACCTGCAGTTACCTTCATACAGGTGAACCTGTGGTACTTCCTGTTTATCACTTGTATTCAGCTGATCTTGAGGTCGGCCGCAGGCCTTTATCATCGTTGATATTTTTTCACTCAGTTTAGGTTTTGGAAATGTAATAAACTACTCCACTCTCTAACGCTCAGGGTAACACTGTCTGAATTACACGTTCCCCACTGACAATGTTTAACCATGTTTTCTGATGATTTGTCACACGATCCCTCTGACCACAAAGCACCCATAATGTAAAGCCCTGACAATGTTGTCGGAGGAAAAAGGGGGTGCAGCTCCTGCAGGTAAGGAGCGTTTCACTTCGGGACAAATCGCGATCACTGATTGGTCAGTTGCTGACGAGCCTACTGGATTGATTGACAGGTGGCGTCATGTCAGTTGTGTCAAGTTGATTACAAACAAATACAAATCTCTAACAGCGAGTTGAAAGACCTTCAGAAAGCCCAGAGGACAATTAAATCAAAGCACTTTAAAAGTTAACTAAACCAATTGGAAGTAAAATAGAAAGCAACAGGAGAGGGTTTGACACACACACACGTAAATATAGAAAAGTACTCACAATGGCACGAGCCTCTGCGATGAAGAAGAGCTCAGTGAAGGCTCTGTGCAGAGGCAGCAGCACAGTGATACTGGTGGGATCCTGGCTCAGGTTGTTCTCCATGGACATGAAGAGCTGCCACAAAGGCCGAAGCAGCGTCAGCTCACACGCTCTGAAGGACAGGAAAATGTAAAAATATGAAAAACAAATAACAAAAAGACAAAAACAACAAAGATTTTGCTGATATTTCAAGTTTCATGCATTACAATGCAAATTCTTACTTCTACGTTCCTGAAAGATGTGTACACATGGACGTGTTTAATGTTTGCTACTCAACCAAAGAACTTTCTCCATTCAAATACACAGTGAACTCACATGCAAATCACTCTCCCTCCTGAGGAATTGTCCCCGTTGGCCAGTTCGCATGAGAAACGCTTGGGTCACGTGCAGAAGAACATCTCTTACGTGAACCAGGCCAACAAGAAAAACTCTCAGGAGGGAGGGAAGGAAGAGTAATTTGCACGTGAGTTCAGATTTAAAGAAACAGAGGAGCTCACTACAATTTAAAGCTTGGAACTCCAAAATTTTTACTTTGAACTGAGACTCCTTGGAGATATATATATATATATATATATATATATATATATAAACTGGGTCGTCTTTAAAAAAATCTATGCCCACATGATTAACTAAATACTCAGAATACAGACTGAAATACTGTTTTCACAACATTACAAAGTTTCACAAAACGCAACATCACAGATATACGATCACTCTGAAAAGCTCCTGGCACAAGAACTTATTCCTGCACAATTTCCAAATTACACCTACCGGAACATACCATGACGACAACACATAGCACTTCACTTTATAAGCTGCATGCAGAACTCCAGCTAGGTTTCAAGCTGTACATTTAAAAAACAAACCCAAGCTCCTGTGTCAACATCTTATCCACTTTCAAGAGAAGAGATGAACCCATAAGCGCCAGGGCTTAATTTGTCAACCGATCGATGCTGGAACGCAAATAGCGGGCGAGCCGGCTGGGTGTCCTCCCCCAGAAAATTTTGAATAAAGTAGATGTGACTTCCTGCCTTTCGGTGTATTTTAACATGTTAAATATCTATGTTTACCTACATTTGTAAACACTCCGCTTCTGTCAAGCATCCTAAAGTGTTATGTTTAAAACGAGTGTTTATGTCATTATTTTCAGTTTACGTGTCCAATATAAGTGTTATTCAATCAAGGAAGTCCCTATTTGTTCACAACTGAGAGTTGCCAGATCTAGCAAACTGTTGCCAGAACGCACCCCGTCAAAAAACAAACTAACAAAAAAAGAAACTTCCCGGGTCATGTTCCGGCAGGATCCAGCTCAAATTAAGCCCTGGTTACAAAACATACACAGGACGAGTGAGCAGCTTTTATATAGAGGAATTAAAAATTCTGGTTCAGTTGTCTGTCATCGGCGTGGGCTCTAACTTTTCAAATTATCTTTGCCCTCAGGACCAAATGACGGCTTTGTCCGGCTGCTCACATGCAAATTCCCAAACACACACTTTTCCTACACTCCAAGGTGACAGCCAGGACATTTATGGAGGGCTCTATGCAAAACCTGGATGCAGGTGTATCTACGTCAGGAGGCGTCATGCTGCTGAGCTGAAGAGCATTTTACTGGAACTGGTTTTGATCTGGAAGGAAGAGACCCGGGACACGCACGGACATGTCCAAGCAAAGTTGGACTTACGTCTGGGACTGACACTGCAGCAGACGGAGCAGCAAGTGAATGGCTTTGAGTCGCTGGTTTCCAGTCTGACGACAGGCCACGCCCACTTGCCACTCCCAGATATCAGCCAGCGGCAGGTGACTGAGCACGTTCTCGTTGGCTAACATTTGCTTGAGGATCTCAAAGCCTGATAAGAGACGAGCAAAACCCACACAGAGCATCAACAATGATCTATTTGGACATTTAAGAGTTCATTTCAGTTTGAACAAGGAAGAAAAGGTTGTGTGAGTTTGAGTCACCTGTCTGAAAACGGCCCCTGTGGCCTCCTGTTACTGTGAACTTGTAGCCCCACTCCGTGTTGCTCATGTCTGACATAAACCTGTAGTAGAGAGTATCACCTGGCAGAAACACGGACAACATGTCAGAAAACACAAGTTCACATTAAATTTGACAGGACTCGCATGCTAGCAGCTAAAATTGGAGAGGAAAGTGAAATATTTGTTAAGAACTGTCCTCACCAGGGATTTCAAAGTCAGACCATTTCTGAGGAGATCCACTGAAGTTGTGAACGTCCTGGAGGAAGTCAGTGCTGCTGGACATGATGAGCTCGTCACAGCCTTCCTCTGTGTAGCAGCGGGAGTCAAACTTTACAGACAGGTAGATGGCCCCAGGGATGTGCACCTTGTCCTGCAAACAAGACCAAATGAACGCCGACAAGACTTTAAAAAACAAAACATTTCTAAAGAAATTTGGAAGAAGTGCTAACGTAGCTAACACTCATGTATGCTTCATTTTTTTCTCTGAAGCTCAGTAACTTGGTCCAGTCGCTTGAAATAATCTAAGCTGACAAAGGGGTGATGTCTGGATTTATAAACTGTCCATGAAGCATAAAAAGAACCTAGATTAAAAAAACATGTTCAAGTTGCTGCCGGTGACACGATGACGGTCACCATGGTAACCACACATCTGTGTCTCTCTCATCCTGACGGCACTCCAGATGACCCAGACCCCGGGCCCGTGGTCCAGGACTTCACTGAATCTTCTTTTTTAAAGTGAAATGTTCCTAAGACAAGACGGTCATTGATTTTAGAAGAGACTCTTCAGTTGCAGCTCCTGTGGTCATTAATGGTGAAGATGTCCAGGAGGTGCAACAATATAAATATCTGGGAACGGTTCTTGATGACAAACTGACCTTTGACCCCCCAC